TTCGTCGGCATATTCGTTACAACTACAAAAATCTCCATGTTGACGAATATGCCATCTTAAAGCTATCATGCAGAACCTTTGTGTACTTTACACTTAGTTATTCTACCATGAGCCCCACAACCACTTTATTGACTTCAGATGACTCTGCCTGTAATTGTAGTCCCAATTTTCATTCATCACTAGCAACGCTCTCATGAAAATTAAGTTCTTTCTTGTTCATCATTATCATCACATTTTGATTATAAAATCATCACCATAGTAGCCTCTTCCTTAATCTTCCTGAAAAGTAAACAACTCATATCAGGTGCTACATATATTAGTTACTTGAACTCACTATCCTAGCCCTTGTTGAGTGTGTGTGGAACTTGAAGCATTTTTTCGGCATACTTCTATTCACACAACATGTGAACAACATACATGGAAATAGATGTCTTAGAATTTCAAACGACATCCTATATCCTATATCTTATATATACCTAAATAGTTTATCCCCACTAACTCCGATTCTCTCAATATGCAACTATGCCACATCATCATGTCACATGTAGGATAAAGTACTTATATTAACATGCACTATGCATGTTCCTCCTATTCAATTTCTACTAACTTGAATTCTCTAAACATGCATATATGCCACCTCACCATGCTATCATGCAATGGAAAACATACATATCAACATGCACTGTGCATGCTATTCATATCAAAAATATATTCTATAACTATAGAATAATCAAATGCAATAAATTTGTATTTTGGTTTAAGTTCACATATTGTTAGGCTAAATACTAATGTTTCATACAACGAATTCACACTGAAATAATTGCAACTCCTGCTGCAAAGCGCAGGTATAAGAGAATGGTTAATGATGTACTCCCTCCGTCCACGAATAAGTGTATGCATAGAAATTTTACGATAGATTATGGAGGGGAGTAAAAAATGCATTGGAAAGGTGCAAGCCATTATCTCTCTCCTATTTAATTACCCACCCCCAATGAGCTAAGTGCATGTAGAAAGTGAGAAGACCATGTGTTGAATATTATTGGTCTTGATTACCGTGTGATGAGAGAGAAACATTTTTTCTACTTTAAAAGTGCATTAGGAAGATAGAAGCACACTCTTTTGTGGGGTAATTTTGAATGCAAAACATACACTTACTTATGGATGGAGGTAGTAATTGGCTACTGGCTATAGACAGATGCCATATCACTTAAAGCCTTCATGAAAATACTCATATAATAGGGTGGCTCTTAGATTGGATCTTAGATTGGCTATTAGGTTGGCTCTAAGCACTCAATATTTGCTAAGCACTGTATTGAGTTGCATGCATACTACTTTTTCTCGATCCCTTTGCTATAGCCACTATGTAGAATATGGCTGGTCATAGTGGGAAGTAACATAGACTAGTAACATGAATATGTTATTAGTCTATGTAACTACCTTCATAGTGGGTAATAACATATGTGTGGTATCATGCAAGCCTTCATTTATTTAAATGTAGATCATGTTTCCTTGGGGTGCATTATGTTATGGTAACATATTATGTTACGAAAAACATCCCTCTCCTCATTAAATACTTACCACATAAGAAAATTTATCTTAGGATACATTATGTTACTACCTAAGTTACTCCCACTATGACCAGCCTAAGAGCCCCCTCCACTCTTTCTCCTCTCTTCTCACTCCTTCAAGTAGGAGTTTAATGACATGGTAAGTCCTATAGTCTACTAGCTAGGTCTCATTATAGCAAGTACAAAAATGGGATATTAGCCCGCTTATGTGTCATTTTTGCCTAAGTGGAGGAGAGAGACAAGCAAAAAGGGAGGGAGTGGGCTCTAAGAGTAAGTACAATAGTAGGCTATAAGTCCGTTTACATGGCATTTTCTGCCTATGTGGAGGAGAGAGACAAGCAAAAAGGGAGGGAGTGGGCTCTAATGCAATAGACATCCTCTACAAGTGCTCCTAGGTAAAATGAATAAATGAGAGGAAAGAAAAAGGAAGAAAGTAAAAAAAATCACTAACCTTAGAGCCAACCTATTGTATGAGTGAATGATATTGCTAACAATTGATGACATGTCAATCTTATAGAGCAAGCTTTTGGCTATAATACCAACCATGCTCTAATGCAAAAGCCAGTCCCTGCACGTACTCCTAGGTAGGATGAGTAAACGAGAGGAAAACGAGGGAGAAAGTGAAAAAGTCACTAGCCTAACAACCAACTTTATAGCCAACCTTGTTGCATGAGTGAATGATATTGTTAGCTCTTGATGACATGACAATTTTATATATCGACCTGTTGGCTATATTATTTAACATGCTCTTAGACTTGCTCTAATCTCTACTACGTATATAACAACGGACCCGGAAACCAAGTAAGGGAGAGGCCGGATTGCACTCAGTGCATGTAGTGTGCTTTGGGCTTTGTGCCAACAGCTGGTTCTCTAATTAGAGCACCTACATCCGGGCACCCCAAACCCCCTTCATACGCCCGGGCAGACGCCCCGGTCACTGACCGGTCAAGAAAAATACGACTCAGACGGGTGCCTCAAACCAGTCTCAAAAGCCCCGGGCTGACCAACACCCCTCATATGCATCCCAAAATATGGGGCGGGAGGCCCGGGCACGTCTGCCACGTTGAAGCCGACCCACGATGGCCCACCCGACGCCACATATATACGTCCCCATTTGCTCCCCAGACTAAACCCTAGACACTTCACTCCAGTCCCCTCCCCTCTACTTCCGCCACCCAAGCTCTCGTCTGGCGATCTCCCGCCTTCTCTGGCATGGCGGACATCGGATCTGTCGACTGAGGTGTCGTCCCGTGCGGATTCGAGGAGGCAATGACCATCCTCATTGCACTTTGTTTGTCACGAGTCCATTGCATCGGCGCATCGGGCACTCAAATCCTAGGCTGGATCATCGCGGTCCTCCCGGGAGCCTTCCAATCTCCCTTTCACCATTATTGGTCCGCCGGAGTATGGCTGCTACTAGGACCGGTGTGCCCGCCATGGGGAAGAGAGGATGGAGGTGGCCGAGGCCCGCCTCACTACCGACATGGTGGCGACGGAGGCGGCTGATGCAGCGGCACGGGCTGCCACAAAGGAGGAAGCCATCCTCACCCACATTGTAAAGAAGCGACAGCGGAGAAAAACACAAGACCTTGCCCGAGAGCAGAATCGGGTGATCAGTGCCATGGATGGACTATCCCCCAAGGAGGAGAAGGAGGACAACGACGAGTCGAACAGCTCCGGCGACGAGCAGATCCAACTCAATCCATACTACATTGTCGACCGCTACTTCTGCGATAAGGACGGCAAGGGCGCCGGGAAGGGCAAGGGCAGCCATTGATGATCTTCTCCATAGTGATTATGTAGGTTAAACATGCAAAATTTTGGTAGTCTGCTGGCATGTCCTGATATAGTAGCCGGAAGATGTGTGTAAAGCATCGTTTACATGGTTGCATAACTTTGTATGGATTTGAGGTATGCTAATTAAGGTGTCTGGTTGTGAGAAGGGAAATTTGAGATGAGACCGGTCAGTGCACGCGAACGCGCCCGGACGCGTCCACAAGCGTTTGAGGGGCCAGATTTGCCAAGTCCGATTGTAGATGCTCATAAAGTCTTCTCGGTCTCTTTAGTTTGATACACGTGTGTATATGTTTACTTCCTACAAATTTAATCTCAACCACACGGTTTATTGTAATCCTTTCATTTCTGTATACAAGACGGAAGACCACTTCATATTTTTTCTATCTTTTAACTTCGATTATTAATTTTATCAACAAAAAGTGAGTTATATGCCACAAAAGGTATGTCATCAGATGCACATTTCCTAAAACTTTTCCATGATGTATTTTTGACGACTTACAACCCATATTTTATTGATCAAAATTATCAGTCAAAGTATGACATAAAAATCGAAATGGCCTTGTATACATAAATGAAGGGAGTATTCCAGATCCAACCTACACAGATTTTTGGAACATGGTTCCACGCGCATCAATTATTGTTAGCGAACGTGTGTTCATGTGTGTGCATAGATAGTGCTCCTAGTGGTGTAGTGGTGTACGTTGTAACGTTATCTAGGACCTAGTCTTTAGGCTTGTTATGTGTGAGTTAGCTGAGCTTCTGTACTTTACATGTACGTGTAATCACTCATCAATGAATGGAAAGTGTTGCACAAACTGTCTCTCCTATCCTTGCTCTGGTTCTAACATGGTATCAGCCATCTAGATCCAAAACTTCCGCTGCTCCAGTTCCCACCCCTCCCTGTGACCATGAGCTCCTCTTCCCACTCTTCCTCCGGCGGCTCCGACGAGGACGAGGATTTCGGCCTGCCCGTTGCAACTCACACCCCTCCTACCCCTCAAACAATTCTGATTTGTTTTATGCTTGAGTAATTTGGAGGTCCGATTTTGTTTTCTTCGTTAAAATATCGCGAGTGTCATTTCTTTGCGAAACTTCACATGTAGAACAATCGACCTAGTTTGGTAACCTTGAATTTTAGAATTGTTTGATTTTTTGCATTTTTATTTTATTTTACTGTTTATAGTGTGTGAGTGGAACCATATTCACCATTGCATTCGAGATCCAACCATCTAAAAAATTTAGATGACATGACTTAACATGGTTTCTCTCTGAGTGCTTCCAGTTACTAGATATAGAAGATTGCGATGGAGAATTTTATTGGGTGGCCTGCCGAAAGGGAATAACATACTATGAAAGAGATGCAGGCCTTAGAATTTTCAAACCTCTACATAACTTCTTGAAAAAAAATCTTAATTAATGAACACGTTTGTGCCACAGTACTGAAAGTGACAGTTACAATATCACGTGAATTTTGCATTCAGCGTTCCTGTGTGTCTCCAGTACTATAGACGTGTACCATTATGGGCCTCTCCTGTTCTAATTCTTATATAAAGCCAACCAGTTCACAAGGCATGCATCACCAACCTTAACATTATCAGAGAGAAGTGATCAGCTGAGCTCGAGCGTTCTCCGGCAATGGCAGCCTCCGTGGAGACTCACCGTCGCCCACACCCGCAGCCTGTGATGAACGACAACCAGCACAGCCACCGGTTTCACCACCCCACCGTCTGGGCGGACTTCTTCCTTGGTTTCAGGCCATTCACTCCTACGCAGGTGAACTAAATTTAATTAGCACACACCAGTGTTGTACTTTCCTTGGTTGGATGAACTAGTAGTACTTCTGTTGCACAACTCTTAATAGATGTCGTTTTACAATATATAGAAGTTAAACAACTTAAGGTTTAGCGGATAATATAACGCGCATCATTAAGTATGTTTTTGTTGAAACATATTTTCATGCAAAATGGACTGTCGAAGCATAACCTCAGACATCAAGTAAGTGCTAATGTTACATGCTCTTGCAGTGTCTTTCCATGAAAAACAAGGCTGAAGTAATGAAAGAAGAGCTGAGGGCGACAATAATAGATTCGGGTTCTGTTGATCTGCCTCGGAAGCTTGAGCTTGTCGATACTTTACAGCGGCTTGGTTTGGACTACCACTATACGAAGGAGATCAATGATTTGTTGTGTGGGATTCATGATGCCGGCGATGAAACCCGCGATCTTCACACGGCAGCCCTTCGATTTTATTTGCTTAGGAAACAGGGATTGAATGTTTCACCAGGTATAACGAACATATTAGAATCTCAAAAACGTGGGTAGGTGAGATTTTCTATAAACATTTGTCCTAATAGAATATGCACTATACATGACAATGCCGCAGATGTATTCCAAAAGTTCATAGATGACAAAGGAAAGATTACCTGCAATGACACAAGAAGCCTCTTGTGCATGTACAACGCTGCCCATGTTCGGACACATGGTGAAGAAACACTCAGCAGCGCAATGGCTTACATAAAAGGCCATCTCCAGCATGCCGCGGAGCAACAAACAATTCCACCATCAATATTGCTCGATCAGGTGCGGCGCACTCTGGAAACGCCTCTTTTCAGGAGGCCTCGAAGAGTTGAAGCGCGGCACTTCATCTCAGTTTATGAGAGAATCAGTACAAGGAATGATGCCATTTTGGAGCTTGCAAAGCTGGATTTCAGTATTCTGCAAGCTCTCTACTGTGAGGAGCTGAGGACTCTTACTCTGTAAGTGACTTTCTATGATGAAATCTGCTAGTATATGGGCAAAATTTCACCTTTTATCCGTCGGTGCAATTTATATTCCGCCGCTAAAATCTAATATCAGACACAACCCTATGCCCCTTAACTCTTGAATTGGTCTTCATATCCTCGTCGTACCATTACAATCTGAGTTCATGGTTTATTTGTAGGTGGTGGAAAGAACTGCAACTCCAAGACCATTTGAGCTTCGCACGAGACAGGATGGTGGAGATGCACTTTTGGATGCTAGGAGTTTTATTTGAGCCACAATATTCATACGGACGAATAGTGCTCACAAAGTTCTTTACATTTATATCGATATTCGATGACATTTACGACAGCTACAGCACCTTAGAAGAAAGCAGGCTCCTCACCATGGCGATGGAAAGGTCTCTATATATCTATGTGGGCTTGGGTGGTTTTAACAACCCATTAATGTGTTGCTTGATACTAATTCTAGAAAAACTCTATTGTTTTTAGGTGGGATGAACAAGCCGCTGAACACCTCCCAGGTTACATGAAGTTCTTCTATAGTAAAGTACTTGCTACGATGAAGGTCATCGAAAAAGATTTGGATAGTCAAGGAAACAAGCATGCAGACTATGTAAAAAAGCTAGTAAGTTGATGTCTCATGAACATGCTTAATTCAAGAAAAATAAACCGATAAATACTCGCATAGGATCACTATGTACGGACACAACTAGCACTATGGTGCGAAGCCTCTGAATCACATGCAGGAATTGATGCAGAGCCCCTTGAGGCGTGCACAAGTAGATAAAAGTGATGAAATCATCAAGACTCTTTGTAAATTTGAAATATTTTAACTCATAAACAGTGTACTCAATATATGGCTCATCTTGACTGTTGGTTTTGTTTCACGAAACTTAAAAAACTGAGATTATGATATTTGTCATCTTAAAAGTTAACACCTATACTTATGAAGCTTCTGTTTCGTTTATGTTCGCTCGTTAAAAAATCTGCTATGTGAAAGAAATATGTGTATATATGTAGACAATCAACTCCCCAGTGAAAAATAAATATATCATTGAACTTATGCAGCTAATCGATGCTACGAAATGCTACTACAATGAGGCAAAATGGCGTGAGGAAAGCGGCACACCTGTTACTGTGGAGGAGCACCTGCGATTCTCAGTGCCTAGCAGTTGCTGCATGCATGTTGCATGCCTTGCCTTCGTTGTCATAGGAGCGAGCGGAGACGCCATTGAGTGGGGCATGACCTATCCCAAAATCATGCGAGCTTCTTGTGTCATCGGCCGTGTCATCAACGATGTGGCTTCCCATGAGGTTACACACTCACAGCTGAAAATATATGCCATCTTTTATTTTATTTGCAGTTTTCGGTTCATGGATAAGTTTCAGATCCTTTTAGTTTTGTAGCTTGTCGCTTCTGTTTGGCGGTGAATATTATGCAAAATCATAATAAATCCTATTTGTGTGCATCATGATGTCTATGCCAATTAAAAGCCAATTAAGTAAACTGATGTAATCCTTCCATTCTGAAATACCCTTTCTGAAAATAATACATGACGTTTTAGAGACTTGTGTATTTGAGACTCTAAAAATGAATATACATATGTTGTTGTAAATTATAAACTTACTGAACTTCAAAATGTTTTACATGGTAAATCCAGAGATATTGTTGTAGTTAAAAATAATCAAATAAGACAGTCCCCTCAGAGAAGTTTGGGAAAATATTTTCTAGAAGACCATCTATTTTGGAATGTGGATAATAGTTAACTGGTCATACAAACCACTTGCCATACAATATAGGTAAACTAATAGAAAAGTTATTTAACTAGAAAAGGACACCCTGGTAACTGCATCAATTGGTGCATTGCTGCACGTAGCCATATTAATAGAACGCGTGATAACTTTGTTAACATAACCCTCTTTTCCCCTCATAAATCAGCGAGAACAAGAACAGTGCTCTAGCGAGAGATCTGTGATGTCAACGGTGGAAGCATGCATGGAGGAGAACAACTACACTGCAAAGGAAGATGCATACAAAAAGCTCACGGATCTCATAGAGGAGTCATGGATGGACATCAGTGAGGAGCTCCTCAAGCCAGCTGCCATGTGGCTGGCAGCGCCGCTCCTCCAGGCAGTGGTGAATTCGACACGGATGTTGGACTTCTTGTACAAGGATCAAGACGCGTACACCGATCCACGAGCTCTCAAAGTGGTAGTAGATTCTATATATGTAAATCCTATATAGAGAAAAGTATTCAAATTTTTATGTGCAAATAATCATGCTATGAGAAACCATGTAACTCAACATTCATGTATCATGCAATGAATCCAAGAGAAAACTATGACAAAAAATGTACTATGCGCAAGCCGAATGATAATCAAGTCTTTCAATCAGCTGGTTTAGCAAGTAGTATCTAGACTAAACATGCATCACACCTTCCACTACTTTACATTTGGATCTGGAGAAGTTGGTGCCTGGCAGCTAGCACCATATATAGAACTATAGGAGCTGCTCTCCTAGCCTCATCGAGCCAGTCGGTACCTACCAAGCAAGGGATGGGAAGTAGAGATTGTGCATTGTACTAGGAGCACCGTTTGTACCGCCTTAGTGTTGAACATTTCCTAAGCTAGTTGGCCAATTATCGGTGCTTTACCTTTTATGGTGTCAGGACATACTCTTCGACACGTATGTTATCAAATGGTTATCCCTAGGTGTTACTTGGTTTGACCGAGAAAAAGAAAACCAGTCACCTCCTCTACTGTTGGATTCATTTAAGTGCTAGATATGGGATCTCAACGAGAAGTGTCGTAGGGCGTCAAATGTGCCCATGCAACAAATCATTCTATGCCACAATAAATCCTTATTGTTGCAAGTGTTGAAAAATGTGTCGCAACACCAGCAACATGAATAATTTATGTGTGCAACATATGACCAACACTGGCAAAGACAAAGAAATGCATTTGCAGCAAGTGAAAAATCCTCTGGAAGCATATATAAAAACCCAAATATTTGTGACATGTGTGCAACATTGTCAGATACTCATGTGTAAACAACAAACACTGTACACACTTCAACACGTTGGAACATCATATAGAACATCGAGAAATCTTGATTTCTATGACCTCTCATTATCAACAATGGAGGCACCACCCTTTGCCAATTTGGGCTCGTCGGCCATGAATTCAGCTCGCCGGAGCTCGGTTGAGCCAGATCCGATGACCCTAGAACCGTTGTTACTTGATGTTCCAACGTCTTTCAGAGCTCATTGGCATGAACTTGAGATCCGCTATGAGGTATTCATCAATTCATGGTATCAGGATATGCGAAAAAAAAACAATTCATGGTATCAGGTTGAGGGAAGAGACGTTGGGGAAGGAGACTGTTGTGGTGGAGATGCTTTCAAGGATGAGGAGTTGGCTAAATATATTATGCGATTGGGTTCCTTCTTCCATGGTGGCCATCCACATATGCATCTGTTCTCCTCGTAGACTTTTCGCAGACGACACTAATCATGGGCATTGGGACGCACATGCTGTTCAATTGACCCTTAAAAGTAACATGTACCTTGTTTGAGTCACCTTCACACAATACTAAAATTTTTGTTATCCACCGATGGTAGGACCTTTGCCTCTGTCCACCAACATACTTGTCAGCTTTATCACTATTGGCCAAGAGATGCGAGGTAGCAAGATGCTGCAATCCAGCCAACCACTTCCCACAAGATGTTTCTACCGTGGCATTTTTGAACTCTTTAATATGTTCCACATTTTTTTTGTGGCAACACAAGCTATTTCTTTTCAGTCCACAACAAAACTAGCGGCTGCGATGAAACATCTAAGATTTATTTAAATTGTTTGTATATGCTAAATTTAATTGGTCTACAATGAATGATTTTGATATAGTATTTACTTTATTCTAGATGTTAAAAACATATAAAAATATGAATAATTTAGATTGATTTTTTTTGCAAGATAAATACTAGACTATTATTCTTGCAAAGCTTAATCCATGCACTTATACATGTGACAGTGATCAAAGTTAAACATTGACACAAAGGTGAGTCCAGCCTTAGAATATCCATTTAGTCTGATCAAAGTGCATACGGCTACCCCTTTATTTAGTGAAAGAATTATTGCATCTGAATTGTGTTTCATACACCAATTTTCATGTCCAAACAATCAGGTTCATTTATGCCTGACCAGTCAATAGATACCTACTGCTAAGGACCACTAGCACAATGTTGGTAGTGTGTCACCCCGCAAAAAAAAATAAAAAATGATGGTAGTGTGTCGTAGTCGGTGTTAGAGAAAATATGCATCTGCTGCTCACACCGGTTTTAGCAATTCATTTTAGGCACATTCTTTCGTTTTCTAGGCAACCAATTCTGCCCAAAGAGAATGCATTCGCTTGGTGTGGACTTTCCCATTGTCGCTAGAGAACCATCCATACCAGGCTACCTGAAGAATCTTTTGAGCGCCCACTATGAAATCGATAGATGCAGCTCGGCTACTAACTTCATGAAAAATATGTTTTCTGTGGCCAAAGGTTTCTGAAAACAAAACCTAGCTATTTGTTGGCCACACAAGTTGATGAATGGATAGCTGTCAGTTAGGACCGACACTGTCACTGTTACAATGGCTTTATTGGCGAAGACGACATACAATTATCATTTTTCTTTTAAAAGGGGAATATATGAATTTCTAGCAGATATCAATTACACTCAGCCTTGTTGGAATAAGCCACGGCGTGTGATGTGGTTTGGCTCGTCGGGCGTGTCGGGTGCGCACGGGACATGCGGGACACACTGATGGTGCGGTCGGACTCGTCGGGCGCGTCGGCGAGCGCGCGGGACGTGCGGGACGCAGCGAAAGCATGATGAGTGTGCGTGTGTGGTGTGCGTGTATGCGCATGTATGTGTGTGGCATAGTGGCCACGATAGAAAGGCTAGGCTGTTGATCCGTTGCGAGCCGGACGTGGCGTGCGCGTTGAGCACGTCGTTGGCATGCGGATAGCGCCCGTGCATGTAGCAGGGTGGAGTGGGCTGCCTCTTGGCGGAAGCATGGGCGGTGCGTTTGCTGCTAAGACTATAAAGCCGACTGTAATCCTGTTTATCAGCTGGGCGAGTGCTAGCCAGTTTGAGATAAGAAGAAAAGGCCGTACGTGCGGCCGAAAAAAAAACTGTGCGTCTTCTACCTCCGTCTAGAGAGTGCTAGTTAGGACTGCGCCAACAAGCCTCTGCACCAACAACATGTCCAAAGACATCCAGAATGCACACAGCCAAAAAACAAAATGAAAAGGAAAAAAAGGAAAAGAAAAGAAAAGAAAAAGATGTTGCCACGGTGATCAATCACCCGCAGTAGCAGCACTCTAACCACCATCAAAGACAACACCCGGACTACAAAGAAGGTTCTTCAAAAGCAACGCCTACAAGAAGGAAACAATGCACAAGCGTTGTCGTTGCCCGATCAAAGATCATATGTTTTCACCCTGGAGAAAGGCCGCGTTCCAAAACAATGCCTTCAACAAGGTCATTGTCAGGCACAACCAATAAAGGCACACTGGTGGAAAAAGGGCCTTTGGTCGCGGTTCGCAACTGCCATTAGTCGCGGTTGCGCAACCGCGACAGACCGGGCGCGACTAAAGGCCCCCCCCCTTTAGTCGCGGTTGCTTAAGAACCGCGACTAAAGGCCCGTCCGCGTGGGCGCCAGGTGGCCGTCGGGGCGGAGGACCTTTAGTCGCGGTTCTTCTGG